GGAGAAGGAAGACGGCGGCCATAGCCGCGGAGCATTGACACAGAGTACCAGAGGAGAGAGAAAGGGAGGACAGAGGAGGAGGGACTAAGGAGAGAGAAGAAGAAGTGTGGAAGGAGGAGATTGAAGAAGAAGACAGACATAGCCGGGGGTGAAMAAAAAAAAAAAAACAAAAAAAAAAAACCAGAGAAAGAGAAGATGGAAGAAAGTGAAGGAAGGGGAAGTAGACGGCGAGGGTGACGAAGTTGGAGGTGCCGGCAGCCATAGCCGAGGTGAGGAGTTGACCGGGCGTTGACCAGACCGTTGACCAGAGGGTTGACCAAGGGTTGACCAAAGGGTTGACCAGGCGTTGACCAGGGGTGTTGACCAAGCGTTGACTGGGGTTGACCGTGTTGACTCGGCGTTGACCAAGGCGTTGACCGGAGCTGCTGACCAAGATTTTGACCAAGCTGGAGTTGGTGACATCTCGTTGACCCCTCAGCCTATCCCCTTACCCTGTGGATGTGCACTTACCCCGCGGTACATGCTGAGTCTGTCTGTCTCTCCTTTCTGGATTGAGTTTCTTCTGTCCTAGGTGATAGGACTCTGTGGATGAAGGATAGGGCCTTGCTGCCAAACCTGCACGGGCTCAGTAGGACCAAAGCTTTACGCTGGCATCTGGAGACCTGGGCATGAGCGGCGAGCGCTCGTTAAACAACTCGTCTAGCCCAATGACCGGTACTGACCGGCAGGTCTACTGAGTTCAGTGTGAAGGGTCCGAACTCCGGGCTGTAGGCTGAAACGAGGGTCGTCTTTAAGTGTTGAGGCCTGGTTGAACCACTCCCCTACCGGACCTACTACAGCTGATGATCTGTGTCTGACGACTCGACTGTCCCGAGGGATACGAACCCCTCCAAGGACCGGTACAGACCGGCGGGCTGCTCGGTGTGGCACAAAGGCTGGAACGGCTGAGTTGTGGGCTGAAATCGCCAGAGGGACCAAGCTGATCATGTCGTCCTGTCTGCGACGTTAAAGAATTCTTGCGGAGTTTGGTGGATCTCCTTAAATGCCTCCTGATCAGCTTTGGGTTCAGTAGTGACAACCTTAGAGTAGTTGTGAGTAGTGGATCTTAGAGAGTTGGTCAGTAGGTCAGTGTGTCCGGGTAGGTCTAAATGGTGAGGAGTGGGACGTTGTCGTGCACCTGACGCCACAATGGACGACCATCCGATGTATGGGTTGCTGGTTGGGTTCTCTCTCTGGGGGACCCTCTGGCGCCTCCTCTTTCCTCTGGGTTTCTGGCCCACTTTCACGTGTAGAGTAGGGCCCACTCGTGGTGGTACTTCCACCACGCCATACACGAAGGAGGAGGAGGAGAAGATGGCCGCCATCTTGCAGGAGAGGAAGGAGGAGAAGGAGGCCAAGAGGAAGGCCTTGAAGGAGGAGCAGGCGGCCAAATTGAAGAAGATAGAAGAAGAGATGGCCAGGGAGAAAGAGAGGTTGAAAAAAGAAGAAGCGAAGCTGAAGGAGGTGGATGAAGAAGAGGAAGGACCGCCACTGCAAAGGAAGAGTGGGCAAAACAGTGGCAGCAGCGGTAATAAGATGGAGAAGAAGATTTCGGAGTGGGTCGCCAACTTATCCCTCGGCGAGGAAGAAGAGGTGATGATGTACATTCCAAAGGATGACCAAGAGGCTGCCATGAAGGCTTGGGATGCAGAGAAAGACCCTCTTAGGCGACAGGCACTGGAGGATCAACAGAGGATGGAGTGGAAACTTGCCATGATGAGGGAGAAGAAGAGAAGGGTGGATGCGGCGAGTGAAGCGGTCAAAGAGTTGGAGGAGGTGCAGAAAGTGAGTCTAAAGTTGACCCCCCAGGTAGATCTCGAACGGAAGGTAAGAGATACTCGCCCAGAGCGTCGAGCGGCTAGCAAAGATACAAGAACAGCAATACGAGTTTAGCCAAAGCCAGGACATAGTTGTGCGCTCGATGCGAATGGGATCCCGAGACTTTGCGCGCGAGCTGATAGGAGCCGTAGGGGCCGAGGTGAATCATCGCCTTGAAAAGACTGAACGTTTTTGTGTCGGCGCCATTGAGGGCGTCAAGGTAGCAGCTCCCAAGGAGGAGGAGACTCGTCATCGCAGGGAGCCAGTCAAAGTCAAATTCCCTGATTCCTACAGTGGAAAAAGGGAAGAGAACTTTGACAATTGGGAGGCCAATGTCAGGACCTATGTGCATCTGCAACAGGTCTCCCCGGATCAGCAGGTCCTAATTGCGATCCACGCGCTTAAGGATGAGGCCGCTAGCTTTGCAAGGTCCCTTGTTCGCGCTGTCAACTGCAGTGATGATCCAGTTGCATACTCCACATTCACCCCCCTCGTTGAGTTCCTGAAATTGCTGCGCGAGCAATTTGCTGATGTCGCTCGTAGTGTAAAGCGTCAGATAGGCTGCAGACGATCCACGCCCGGAAGTGGAAGAGTGCCAGGGCACTCAAGAGTACAATGGATGAGTTAGTGGCTGTCCCTGACCATGGGGTTACGGACACCCAGATGGTCGGCCTCTTCTATCGGGCCATACCCCAAGCCCTCCGAGAGCATTTCTTCGCAAAGAGCGAAGACCCTGCCACTACGTACGATTCTCTTAGTCGCGAAGTGGTGGCTTTTGAAGCCAAGTCTACGTCTGTGTCCACCTTCTGGCACAAAGACTTGGATAAGGGAAAGCAATGGAAGGGCCGCACTAGCTCTGGGCAAGTGAAGACTAAGGATAGCCTTGTCCTGACCTTAGATGAGGGTAGTGTGGACGAGATCCCCTACGATCAGATTGAGTGGGGATTAGAGGAGGATGACAGCGGTGTGGGCCAGGGGAGGACTTACGCTGCTGTCGCGGCTGGAGGGAGGCCGCAAGGAGGACGAGGCCAGGGCCAAGGGGGCCGGGCCTTTGGGAGCCGGTTCCAAGGCGATCAGGGGGTTGGCGGTAGAGGAGGAAACCGCCAAGCGGGAGGCAGGGGTCAAGGTCCCCCGCAAAACCGTACTAGGAATAGGTCACCCTATACAGTAGGAGGATGGCACCTAGGGCTGCCGCAGGGCAGGCCTCGGGAATCTTTGGGTCTGGACCAGACTTTATGGCAACAACGACTGGACCGGGGCCAGTGCATTTTCTGCCGTGACCCGGGCCACATCATCAAATATTGTCCTAAGTATCGCGAGACCCGAACGGCTGCCCAGGGGCCAAAAGGCAGCCACCGGTAGGGGTAGCAACTGCCCCTACCACCAGGCCATGTGGGGAACATAGCGCTAGCCGGCAGGAGACTCCCACACCACGTGTGCCTATGGCAGAGGTTGAAGGCCGGTGTCTAGATAGCTGCCCAGAGACTGCTTGTGTTAGAGTCTCTCTAGACACCTCCCTCACAGGCGTGGCCGAAGAATTGAAAGAGAGGAGGCCCGCCTAGGCCAAGATGAAGAAGGAGAATAAAGGGCAGCTAATTTTATTAGATGCCGATATTTTTAGAAGTCGAGTAGGGGCCCTAGTAGACTCAGGGGCCACCCGCAGCTATATTAGTAAGAAAGCGCTGCAGAAGTTGAGGCTGGGACTTAAAGTCCAGAAACTGACAGACCCCATAGTTAGTATCCTCGCGGACAATCGTACAATGGTTATAGAGGAGTATGTAGAGGGAGTCCAGGCATATTTTCGCCTAGAGAAGGATGGGAAGGTGGAGAAGGTCCTCCACTCCCTGACTCTCCTCGTAGAAGACAGCCTCCCATTTGATATTGTTCTGGGAATGGATTGGGGAGAGGCAGCCGGGGCCACGCTCCATCTGAAAGAGCACGAGTGTAGGCTCCCTAGTTCGTCAGGCGAGGCTAAGACTGCCCGCCTGTTCCATGTGTCCGGGGTAGAGAATTCCTTGGCGCACTGCTGCCTTAGTGCCCCCGCGTTCGCCAGATTGGTGAAGAAGGAGAAATTAGAGGAACAGGTCTTTGTTGCCTATGTTAGGCCAGTCACTGAGCCTAAGGAAGAGAAGTCCGTAGACCCTGCTATTGCCAAATTGCTGGAAGAGTTTCAGGATTTGACTGAGCCGCCAACAGGCACGGTGCCGTGGCCCATCCAGCACCGTATTGAGATAGAGCCTAGCAGTAGAACTCCTAAGGGTGTTGTGTATAGGATGTCCCCGCGGGAGTTAATAGAGGTAATCTATGCATGGTCATTCCTGGGCCACGCATGTTAAAAATAGTCGTAATGAAATTGATAGCACCTAATATTGAGGAAACACCCGACAAAAGAAGACTAAAAATAGCTAAATCCACAGCTCCTCCAGAATGACTGGTTATACCGCTTAAAGGTGGGTAGACCGTCCACCCGGTACCAGCACCTACTTCCACTAAAGCAGAACTTAGAAGAAGTAATAATGATGGTGGTAATAACCAAAAACTGATATTGTTTAATCATGGAAAGGCCATATCAGGCGCTCCAATTAAAATAGGAACAAACCAGTTTCGGAGCTACGGAAGCAGTTGGACGAGCTCCTTGAAAAGGGTTGGATTAGGCCCAGTTCGTCTCCGTTTGGAGCGCCTGTTCTCTTTGTCCCTAAGAAAGAGGGAGACTTGAGGATGTGCATAGACTATAGGCGTCTGAATGCTATTACAGTAAAGAATGTTGAGCCACTGCCTAGGATAGACGATCTCTTAGATCGAGTGCAGGGGGCGAAGTATTTTTCTAAGATAGATTTGAAGTCCGGATATCATCAAATAGAGGTGCATCCTGATGAYCARTATAAGACAGCCTTCCGGACTAGATATGGGCACTACGAGTTCATAGTGATGCCCTTTGGACTAACCAATGCGCCAGCTACGTTCCAGCGCTGCATGAACGATTTGTTTAGGCCGTGGTTAGACAGGTTTGTTGTAGTGTACCTAGATGACATCCTAGTGTTTAGCCGGACCCTTGAAGAGCATCAGGGTCATCTCAGGCAGGTCTTGGAGAAGTTGAGGGAAGCTAACTTCAAGATCAATGCAAAGAAGTGCGATTGGGCGAAGACCCAAGTGTTGTACCTAGGCCACGTCTTAGACGGAAACGGCGTTAAGCCAGAGGATAGCAAGATCGCCACGATTAGAGATTGGCCCACGCCACGTACGCTGACAGAGTTGCGCTCGTTCCTGGGCTTAGCTAATTACTACCGGAAGTTCGTGAGGAACTTCTCCACTATCGCTGCGCCCCTTCGCAGATTGCTAAGAAAAGAGACAATCTGGAAGTGGGACAAGGACTGCACGTCTGCCATGAAAAAGTTGAAGCAGGCGTTGATAGAGTACTCGGTCCTTAAGGTTGCCGATCCGTCCTTGCCTTTTGTCGTCACTACGGATGCTAGCCAGTACGGCATAGGCGCAGTGTTGCAGCAAGACGATGGCAATGGGTATAGACCCGTAGAGTTCATGTCCGCCAGAATGCCTTCAGAGAAGGTCGCGACATCTACCTATGAGAGGGAACTCTACGCTCTCAGGCAAGCCTTAGACCACTGGAAGCACTACTTGCTTGGGAGGCACTTCAAAGTCTATTCTGACCATGAAACGTTAAGATGGTTAAAGACGCAGGCCAAGATGACACCTAAGCTTACTAGGTGGGCCGCAAAGATAGATCAGTACGACTTCGAGCTCAAGCCTGTCAAAGGGAAGTACAACGTAGTCGCGGATGCTCCGAGTAGAAGGGCTGATTACTTTGGGGCGATAGTGCATTATCTTGATATAGGGAAGGACCTGCAGCAGAGGGTTAAAGAAGCGTACACGCAGGATCCTATCTATAGTGACCTCCTTAAGAAAGTCAAAGAGGCCCCAGAGACTGAGCCGAACTACCGCACTACTGAAGGATTGCTATTTGAGAAGACTAATGTCTTTGACCGGTTGTACATTCCCAATAGCGAAGAGATCCGTAGTCTGATCTTGGGAGAATGCCACGACACAGAGGGTCATTTTGGTTGGCAGAAGACTTTAGCCAACCTAATGAGCGCATATACCTGGCCAGGGATGAAGAATGACTGCGTAGAGTGTGTTCGCAGTTGTAAGGTTTGCCAGCGTAACAAGAGTTCTACGCTCGCCCCGCTAGGTCTTTTCAGACCCTTGCCCATTCCGAACCAGCCGGGGGACTCAGTGTCCATCAACTTCATGGACACTCAAGTCAAGAACAGGCATGGCAAGAGCCAAGTCATGGTCATAGTTGACCGATTTAGTAAATACGCAGTTTTTGTTCCTTCGCCTTCAGAGGCACGCACTGATTTAGTCATACAGAGATTCTTTGACTGTTGGGTTAGTGAGAATGGAATCCCGCTGTCGATAGTTAGCGATAGCCAGAACTGGCAAGAACTCATGGGAGTGTATGGATCTAAGTTGTTGATGTCGTCCGGCCGTCATCCAAAGACTAACAGTTAGACAAAGCAGATGAACAAGATCCTACAGCAAGTTCTGCGCATGTACATTAGGCCACATCAGATAAACTAGGATGAGATGTTGCCGAAGGTAGCTAGTGCGTACAATAACAGTGTGCATTTGTCTACATGTCGCACTCCCAACGAGCTGCACAAGTCCTTTAGACCGCGCCGACCGTTTGAGGGACTCAACCGGGATCAGATTCATAGATTGCCGCCCGGGACCAGGGAGTTTGCAGTGCAGCACGAGAAAGAACTAGCTACTGTTGTAGAGAACCTCACGAAAGCCCAGCATAGAATGATAGAGCAAGCGAACAAACATCGTCACACCTCACAGTTTCAAGTAGGCGAATTAGTCTGGGTCAGTTCTAAAGAGTTTGCGCCTGAGGAGAACATCTCGCAGAAGTTACTGCCCACATATAGAGGACCGTGGCCTGTTCTGGACGTCAAGGGCGGCGAAAATGGACCGTCCTATACAATAGAACTACCAGCACACCTCCACACGTATCCAGTTTTCCACGCATCAAAGTTATTACCTTGTCAAACAAGTGATCAGTTTCCATCCCGTAGATCGATGATCCCRCCTGATATGGATGGAAGATATGACAWAGATGGTATAGTSGCTGAAGATRTCTTCAGAACTGGASGTAGGGGTCGTCCGCARAAACAGTATAAGGTTCATTTTRGTTATCAGGARCYGGAAGACGACCGCTGGTTTACAAGATCGGAACTTCTAGAGACAGCTCCCGATATMGTCYGGGCCTACGAGAGACRRCAGAAGGGTAAAGGTCCTGCCTTGGACTGAAATTTTCTCGGAGGACCTCGAATTTAGGCCGGCGGGAGTGAAACGGTATTCACCAGTTCGCAGTAGCGAATGCAGATCCCAGGGCTCGATCCCTAGTTCCCCGTCTTACCTGTGTACAGTATTGATGTCAATCAGTAGCTTTGAACCTGCGACCTATAGGATCGCCAGTGGTAGGTAGACTTCCGTAGGACACAGGGTAGGAGGGATTCGAACTATAGACTTGTAGGGTAGGAGTCTAAACAGTTCAGAGGTCGTGGCTGTAGGTTGTTTGAAGAGCCAAGGTCGTAGCCGCTACTTACCTGAAAGGGCAAAGTCGTAGCTGCTACAGTACCGAAAGGCCAAGTTAGAGACTTCTAGAAGTGGCCTTTCGGAATTAGCCTGCACTCAGCAGAGGCAAGTGGTCAAGCGGTGGTAGTCCACCTAGTCCGGTCAGCAGTCCCAGTTAGTCCAGTCCGGTCCAGTCAAGCAAGTACCGTCTGGGACTGTGCACCTCCTGGGCCAAGGGATACGAGGCAGACCAATGCAGCGCAGAAGTATAAATCAAGAGGCTGCGTCCAACCATTCATTCATTCCTGCGGATGCCATGCGGAAGCGCTGCCTCAGCAGCTTGTGCGAGGAGGTCTGCAGTGTGCCCGAAGACGAAGAGGGCAGTGAAGTGTAGTATAGCGATAGGGTAGKGGCAGCTAGCGCTGCCATAGCTGTAGTACAGTGTGTGTGTGTGTTGCGTATGRACACTGAGTGTTGCGTGTGGGACATCCAGGGTGATCCAGAGTGCGAACAGTGAGTTGTGTGGGCGCAGAGCCGCCATAGCCAGTTGAAGAGAACTCTTATCCGGTTACGATATCTTTGAGTACTGTGTGGGCGCATGTCGCCAGTTTGCTGTATCGCTGTTTGCATGCAAGACAAGTGTGAATAATCCGAGTTTGATTGCACCGCCACCAACTTGCTTGGCTTCTCCCACGCTGCTTCGCGATAATTGAACTGCCAAAAGTCCCGGATCGATTTTCCTAAACTATCAATAACCTACACTAGTCTAGCCTAGACCTAGACCCGACTGACCAGACCGACCGGTACCGTTTCAGTTTAGGCCTTTCGGCCTTTCCCTTACCCGGCTATAAGCTATAGGACCGTCTATCGGTATAGGCCCTTAGGGCCTGTCCGTCCTAGGGGTAGCCCGGGCCTGCTATACGCAGTTAGGGTAGCTGTAGGAATTCGGGTTAGTGCTGGGCCTGTATTTTCTCATATTTGCAGATATGTCCCTCACGAATTTCCTTACAGGTAGGTCTCTCGGTTAGCCCTCAGCCAAACAAAATTACAAATCTAGCCTACCGCTGTTAATGTACAGCCTCACAGTAAATCTCAGCAGTCAGAATCAGCAAATCATTGCAAACACATCATGAGTTCGAATCCTGTGGGAATCAGGGGGTATAATAACGTAAAGGACTATCTCCATTTGATCCAAGCATTGATGTATCAATCGTTCACTTGATACATCCATCCATCGACTCATCCATCCATCCATCCATCCATCCAAGCCCATCAAAGTCCATCAAAGTCCATCCATCTGACACAATCCATCCATCCATCCAACCATCCAATTGCATTCATCCATCCATTCATCCATCCATCCATTCATCCATTCATCCGTCCATCCATTCATCCATCCATCCATCCATCCAATTCCATCCATCCAACCAATTCCATACATCCATCCATCCATTCATCAATCAATCCATTCATCATTCATCCATCATCCATCCAATTCCATCCATTCATCCATTCATCTATTCATCCATTCATCCAATTCCATCACATCCATTTCCATTCCATTCTGTGCCATCCATTTTCCATCCAAGTCCATCCAAGTCCATCCAATCCATTTCCATCCCACTCCATCCCCACTCCATCCAACTCCACCCCATTTCCATTCCATTCATTTCCATTTCATCCCATCCAATGGCATCCATAATATTCCATCACATCCATCAAATTTTATTCTATCTATCCAACTCCTTTCATCCCACTGAACTCCTTCCATTTGTCCAATTCCATGCATCCATCCAATGATTCCAGTCCCATCCATTCACCCATCCGTCCATCTATGCATCTATCCATCCATCCATCCATCCATCCATCCAACCATCCATCCATCCATCCATCCATCAACCCCATTCCATCAGATTTCATCCACCCGTCCCATTCCATATAATTTCCACACACCCCATTCCATTCAGTCCCATCCCTACAGTGAAACATTTTTCAAGGCATTCCACAGGTTGCCCTGGCGACTTTCACCGCCTATGCGCCCTTTATGCCTAGTCATTCCGAATAACACTTGCCCCTCCCGGCTTACCACGGCTGCTGGCATGGAGTTAGTTGGGGCCTGGAACTCCATCCTGATAAAACTCGCATATTCATTTCTTAGCACACGACGTTCTCCACCTTGGCAAAGCCCCCCATGCGCTTGTCAGCAGAGTTTGTCCGTCCGAGTAGAAACACTTCTTTCACAAACTCGTTTTGTAATACAATCTCTGTTTTAAATCCACCATTGGTTGGTTGGTTGGTTTTCACCAAGGAGAAACAGACCTTCGTCCTCCTTTTGTACATCCTTCTCTTCCTCCATGAGGATGGTCTACAAGATCAAGCTTAAGTTTATTTTCCTGCCCTCCGAATCACACATGATAGTTTCCCATAATGCGGCTCCCCGCCATGAATCATCATTCAATAATGCCCACCACTTGACTCAGTTTAATTTAGATGTTCTCAATAAACTAGTAGGTTTATATAGGATAACGCCTGTCTCAGCACATTGAAATTGCGGACCAAATTTCTTCAGCGTGCTTCGTCTTCTTCTTCTTCTTCTTCTTTTTTTTCAGTCCAGATCATAGTAGAGGCTGGATGCTAGGCCTCAGGATGTGCCTGTCACTGTACTGGACCAGTGGGGAGATCAGATGGCTTGTGACAGCCCCAAGGACAGTCTCCTCCAGGGGGCATCATTTGTGAACTCTTTTTTTGTTATCCTAATCAGATCGCAAGTCGAGCCCTACAGCGGTGCGACCCAGACCTCTCTCTAAACCTAGACCTACACCAAACTGCGCCTTCCGAGGGTCTCAGATGAGTATCTCCCGCGGGCGCTACCATACGAGGACAACCCAGACACAGGAGGGGTCACGGATACGTGGTCATTCCTGTAGCATGCACAGTTCCCACACGGGCCCGCTGGTAGGGTTAGGGGTCCTAGGGGGATTATCAGGGTTAGTCAGGGGGCTACAGTGTTAGTTAATGGGTCGAGTTTAGGCCCAGTGTCGGTTGGGGGGCCAGTTTGGCCAGCAGCAGTTAGCATAGGCCCTGGCGCATTTTCGTTTGGGTGCCAGACCACAATTTCGTTTTGGCACCACCAGTTAGGCCCAGGCTGTTTCAGGCCAATTCGAATTTTGGCGCCAGGTAGGCGCCAGGCCCTTTCAGTTGAGGACCGCCGACCGCGAGCTAGATCAGACGGCCACAAGATCGGGAGGCTGGGCAGCTGAGGCCGACCCAGCGCTATATTTAGCTGGGTCCAGCCTCAGCTCGGTAGGTAGTGTAATAACCCATGCCATATGTCTCGTGGAACTGAGGGCCTCAGAAGGTCTACTTGGCCGCCCTCAGCCCAGGCCGAACAAGGGCAGAAAAGGCCCTTCACGAAATCAGGGCCTGGGCGTGTGACAGTTGACTTTGGTCAACTGTCGGTCCACCCAACAGTCAAAGTCCAAAGGTACCTAGCCCAGGCCGCAGGTCAAGCACACACACTTGTTTGTACGCAGGTGCCCAGACAGCATCAGGTCCAAGGGAGAAGTCTGCAACTGCACAATCCAGGCCTTCAGCTGTGAGTCAATTTGGACAACTGAGGGGAAATACACCGAGGCCAGACAGCCTCGCTGACTGCTACTTAAGGCTGGCCTCGAGTGAGTCAAGCATTCAGTCTTGCTATGCTGCTATGACGCTGGCTCGACTTTGACAACGCTGGCTTCATGCTGGCTGTGCACACGCGTTGCGGACGACGGCACAAGGTGGAGGCGGCATGCTGGTGCTTCTTCGGTACACCATGGCATGCTGACGTGGCGCTGCCTCTAGTATATGTGGCGCTGGCTCTGGTCTACGTGGCATGGTGACGTGGCGCCGCCTCTGATATATGTGGCGCTGCCTCTGGTCTACGTGGCATGCTGACGTGGTGCTGCCTCTGGTCTACGTTGCATATTTTTGGGAGTTCTTTTTTTTTTTCGCGCTGGGACTGCCCAGGAC